TAGTTCAACTACTGAAGAACTTGATAATTATTCTCAATTTGATTCAGACGAAAATATAAACAATGCAATTAATCAATTTTGGTGACAGATTTTCAATTATAAACCGTTTGATAATTGCACTTATAAATTATATGATATAAGCTTCAAGAGGTAACAATACTGTATAAGCCTGTTCTTGTATTTTATGATTGATAATTTTACTGCATTTTCACATTTACAAATACATGGATAATTCATTGTTTTAATTTCTTATGACCGCCATCGAATGATGTATACGGATGATTTTTCTTCTATAGTTTCAGTTATCAATGTAGTGTCGTGGAACAATAGGGATGTGAACGCGACATTGAGCCGTGTCGCGTAACAACAGTGTCGATAATGGTGGAATGATGTAATAATTGTTAGATACATGTAATGAATAGGAACGGTCAACAAGGCATATAAATAAGATATTTTATCTATTTTTTAGAAAAAGATCGATTCAAGATCTTAGAGTTTGGTCTTGGAACACTCCTGTATCTCTCGCGGTTTCTTAAAACAAATGCTATTTTACTTCGCACAATAATATTTACACTCCTAAAGTATAAACTAAGTCCACGCCACTACAGCAAAGTAAGAGACTTTAAGAGAGACGCTTTACCTTTTGTATCGTGAAGAGAGCGACACTTGTAATCTTGAGACGCGCCTAGGGAATGACGGCCAAGAAGAGATTAGCAAGTGCGAAAGTCGGCCAAATTGTAATCGCGTCAGAGCTAAAGCCCTACCTTTATTTGGTGCTGAAATCTCAAGCGTTTGGGTTATTGTCACGCGAAAAGTGAACCGTTTAGCGACAGACTCTTCGGTGACAACAACAGTAGCCAATTCTGGGAATAATGCACAACTGTTTTAAGCCTAAAAAAAAACAAGTTCTATAATTTAAGAGATTACAGTATTTAAGTTCTTCAAAAATTTTGATAAATGTGAGGGTGCAACCCTATCTTTCCGAGTGGGAAAATGACAATCAATTACCAAGATAATTAATCTATTAAAAGAAAGACAAATTTGAAATTAAATTAATTACAAATATGCGATGGCAGTGCTGGTCCAAATGCTTTTATCTGAGCCTTAGATATTGTGCTTGACATTGAACACTATCTACTATTTATGAAGGTTAAAACATGTTTTCAGGCAAGTTTTCATATGCAGACAGGTAATAATACTTTGTACTTATTATTTCTTCAATTTTATTAATTTTTTTTTTTTTTAGGGAGGGAGGCATCCCAACGAACAAATCAATTAGGAATCGGTAACAAAGAATATATAGATACTGAAATCAGTCCATACTGTACATATAAAATTTGTAACAGAGATGAGATAATCTTTGCAGTAATAAGTAAAAAATAATGCAATTACTCTTATCTAAAATATGATGAGAAAAATATATATTACGCAACCTGAATTTGATGATTTATAATATTTTTTAATGCTATCAATAAATGCTAATTTTTTAGAATAATTAAAGTTTTGGTTAATTTTTCTAATTAATACCCTGTCGCATTAGGTGTCAATACCGGAAATAATGGTATTATTTATTTTCATTTTATTTTTTTTTACATTGCATTATATAATATACATATATTAATATTAAGACTCCTTATTTTAGAAAATTTTAATTTGAACCTGACAATTATCTCCAAAGACCATTTGTGGAATAATCGAAGTATTATTTTGAGATGATGATGCTGACTTATTAGTAATAATGGAATTTGTTGTTTCGATAGAGGTTGTATTATCTTGAGTTGATTCATTTGTTGTAAAAATAGAATTTGCCGTTTCAATTGAATTTGTCTTTAAATAATTGCGGGCAGACATAAATTCTAAATAAAAAAATTTTTTTTTATTAATAATAAATTATAAATAAGAATTTTAAATTATATTTATTTACCTGTATTTGTATATTGCGAAATAATATCAGTAAGCGGAGAATCTTTAATTTTCATATGTGCTATAATATTAAATAAAAAAATTAGTTAATAAATAAAATAAAATAAAATTATTTGATATAATTACTTTGTGTTTTTTTAAACTCATTTTTATCTTGTTGATTAATATTCGATTTGGGTACAAGAAGTGAAACATTAGAATACTTTTAATTGTCAGTGCTTTCTTGATATGTATTAATGCCTCCAAGAGATCAATGACCAGAAATTTTCATTTGATTATAAATTGGAACTCCAAGATGACATAATTCTTGTAATCCTGAGTTGTGAATACTATGATTGGTAATATTACGTCCTCTAATATTAATTCCAGCTTCAATACATAAATTTTTTAACATTGTATCGTGTGTTCCTTTTCCCAACTTAAAATCTTTAAAAAAATATCTATCAAGTTGACCTGTAAATATAAATATTTGTTAAAATAAATTATTTAAAAAAACTATTAAATAAATATAAATATTACTTACGTTTTTCTGTTTCTATACTTAAAAAAAATATATTCTATTATACAATTAAATGAACGTTTAGAACGATAATAAAGAATATCAGCTACTGGTGTATAATCATTATTTGGATCATCAGGAGGAATTAAATTTGAACATCCATTATTGTGAATATTTTTTACACCACCAGCATGATTTTTGTCTACAGGTAATTCTATTTAATGCTAACATCATTATGGTTTTCACCCAATTATCTTTTAATCGCTAGCATCACCACCACGAAAAGATGATAAAAATAAAAGCCATAACCAAGTAAAATATGTAATTCCCTTAGCAGTTAATACTGAGGTGGCTGGAGAATCAAGAATCGCTTTAATTTCTTCCATTGTAAGATAATCAGATTTTTTTTTTGAAAGACTTGCATTTTGTAATTTCTTAACCTGTCCACCCAGTGTCTTATGTAATTCTCACCATTTAACTTTATCATAAATATTGACATGTCGAATTGATGAAAAAATATCAAGAATTCCCCATGCAATGGCTGAAAATCCAACTACTAAAGAGGCAGGAGTATAATCACTTTTATCTTGTTTTTTTACATCAACTATAAATTTTCATAACTTATATTGAAGCATCGCATCATTCAAATTTTTAAGTCTTCTTTATATTTTTTTTGTTTACGAAAACGTTTCAATGTTCTCATCCATTGATTTGTTGGAGTTTCGGTATTTATCACCTTAGATTGATTAATTGCATTGTTTATATTTTCGTCTGAATCAAATTGAGAATAATTATCAAGTTCTTCAGTAGTTGAACTAATTGTCGACATTTTGTAACGAAAGAATAGCAGAAGTTTAAAAAAAATTTTTTTTCTATTTAAATAATTTATTCACGGTTACATAATGAAATAGTAATAAATAGCTTAAATTTGGTATTGACACAGCTTCGAATATTTATTATGCTAATATTCTTGAAAACAAAAAGCCTAACATAATATCATACCATAATTTATAAATTACCAATATAAATGGTATAAATCAAGGAAAATTTCTGGCTTCTCTGGATTATTTTTTATAAATTTATAGTCAATAAAATCACAAAAATATTGCATGACATCTCAAGACATATAATAAGGACATAGCATTTATAAGCAAAAATCTTTCCACTTATTTTAAAGATACTTTATTAGGTAACAATAATTATTTCTCTAATTAATAAATATGTTCATTAAAGGAATAGCTATTATACAGTGAGTGTGATACTCTTTTTTTATTGGAGTATTTTTATTTTATTATTATTTTCATTTACACTTTGTTTATATTATTACTGACTATTGAACAATATATATTGTGTAATAGGATTTTTTAATTAATTTACGTATGTTATCTTGTATTGTTGAACGACATGAAATTGCACTATGCGACTAAACCCTGATAGTTATCATCTGCTAACAGCCTATATTAACAATACAAATATTCTTTGTTAAATTTACATGAGATTTATGCTTTATACAACTTTTTATATTCTGTATACATCGCTATCATCCATCGATATTAATTCTAATTTCACTTTTCTCTTCTCCATTAGCTCTACCAGTATTTTCTCCATCAACTCTACTTACATTATCTATTATATTTTCTCCATGTGTTCTCTCCTCTCTATAATTTTTTTGCAACTTCCAAGCTTCAAAACACTCCTTCCTATATATCCATTCATTTTTAATAGCTTCATTAATTCTTACACCCGCTTCATGGACTAGTATTCCTATCGGTATAAATAAAAAATAAACCGTAACGCCAAATGCAATAATCCCCACATTTATCCAAGATGCAACGGCTACTTTGATGTGATATTGACATGTTAAGTTAAGCGGCCCGTCGATCCCAGGTATCGCATAAAATTTTGGATCGTACTCTAAGATAGAAAGCGACATAACGTAAAACTCCAATTTAAGACAAATAACAATGAAATCTTACCACGGGGACATGTTAGAGGGTGACCACGAATAAAATCAAGGGATGCAGTACAAGCATATATTATCGATAATATTAATGCTATACTTTGATACATAATAAAAAAATCCATGAATTCTATTTCCTTTAAAGTTTAAAATTTTTAAAAAACTTACATAATCTTCCGGGGGAATATCAGTAAAACCATATTTGCATCTAAAAATGATGCCAAAAACAAGAGAAAAAATCAATATAATTTTATATGAAGTTTAAAGAAAAATAATTATACATACAGATAAAAAAGGACCCTATCCAAAAAATGCTGTATAACTTTACTCCAAACTTTCTATTAAATTTGATCGATGGTTATCAAAGTGCAGTATAATAAATAAATTAGATAGGAGATAACCTTGACTACCTTGAATCTTTCCAATACTCAGGAATTACACTTTCATCTTCGTCATACGTTTCGTTGTAATATTTTGCTCTCATAAAACCAGCATCTAGGTAATTTAGAAACATTCTAAACTCTGTGGTTATTAATAATTAATTTATAATTATAACCACGACAACACAAGTGATACAATAAACTAATAAAAAGGATAATTTACTAATTTTACAATACCAAAATGCATACAGGCAATACACGAAGCAAATCCAACAGTACACATTAAAAAAGCCATAAATATCCTTGTAGACTTTTTATTGATTTTTTGATAATATCGATCGAAGAAGGAAAAAGAACTTTTAACGCTGGGTTTCCTTCTTACAGATGGGTTAATTAAAAAGTTCATTTTTGCAAGAACAAACGCTAATGCTTTTACAAAAATTAATGACACTAACTTATGAAATGAATTGCATTGCTTTTCTAGTATTTATAATATTTTTTATTTATAATCATACAACTCGATCTAATGAATATAAACATCATATCAGTCTTTATATTACCGTATAAGGAGGCAATAATAATGTAGTAGATACGGAATTGTTCAAAGGAAACTTTCCGAAGTTATAAATATGTACAGTATTTGATGTTAATACGTGAAATCTTTCAAAAACAAAATAAAGACTTTCCTATCCGGGACACCTACATGCATACATACATGTCTTGGCATTTGTTATGAAAAGTTGTATTACGTATTGGCAATAATAGTACAGTATGTGCGTGAATAATTTATCATTGAAAAACTATTTTTACTGATTAATGATAAGCTGCGATTGATAAACTCAAGTCAATTTCGTTTCACAAAATACCCTTTAGGTTAAGCTTTATATGGCAAATGTTATTTTTATATTAAATTATATAAAAACTTATAATTGAATTAAAATACAAAAAATAATAGCTAATAATTTATAGTGTAGAAAATCAACGATTCTAAGTGCATTGCAGGACACTGTAATTAGTTAAAAAAAATTTCGACCGAACATTTTTTATCTTATTTAATGTTTGTGAAACGCCTTAACCTTAGTCTGATTAAAATTCATAAAGAATTTTTAGGAAAAACCTAAAAACTTTAAAAATTAAAACCAGTTGTAAATAAGAAATAAAATAAATTTCCAAAAAATTATTTATTGAAATTTAATAAATCTCATACAAATAATATGTAAAGTAATCATAAAAATAATTTATTAATAATATTGTAACAGTGGAAAACGGCGAGTCTGTCGCTTGCATGCAGGTCTTGTCGCGGCACGTCACACCATAGCTAAGTAGGCCCACTTTGCACTATTTTCTATATGGTTCGTGTCATCACTAACACTTCTTTCTTCTTGTCTTGTAGGCGAAAGAGGTGATTGGATTTGGTCAATCTTCACCGAAATCACGGGCGAAAATGTAACACTAGAAAATAGAACACACAGGGGTTTATCACACAGATAAAGATTTCAGTCATTAAATGAGCACACTTGCTGCTTTTATTATTAAGAAAGTTGGGTACATTTATACATGTTTCCATTATCACAATTATCCTAATTATCTTAATTATCTTCTTTATTCCAATTATCCTCTTTATCTCACTAGTTTATAACCATACCTGATATAGCATCATGTGATAAATCATATTAACTCATAATAATTTCTTTATATGAAATTTTAACAATGATAAATATTTTTTAATTAATTTTGAATGTTTATATTATTAAGTAATTATAGTTATAATATTATTTTATTATAAAATAAAAATTTTATTTTACTTAAGTTATACAGTATATGTTATTTTATAAGAAAAAAAAACTTTCTTCTATTTTTTTTTCTTATACTTTAAATTTTTCTTTTTAAAAAAATTTTAAGCTGTTTTTTCATTTTTTTTTCTTTTCTGTAGTTTTTTTTTATATATTAGCCTTTTTTTTTATATTTTGTTTATTTTTTAATCAAAGTTGAAATTTTTCTTTTTTTAAAAGTTTTTTCTTTCTAAATCTTTCTTTACTTTTATTTAAGCTAATAATTATAGTATCAACTCTTCTATCAATTAACTTATTCTTTTCTGATTCTATATATAAAAATATAATAATTTTGTAAAAATAAAAATTTTAATAAATTTTTTTTTTGTTTTTTGGAGGACATTTTTAATAATTTTTAATATTATTATTTTCGAGTTTAATTAAATATATCAAATCTAATCTTATATAATTATTATTATTTTAATATATTTATATAAAATTGCATTTTACTATATTTAGTAATATAATAGCATATGCCAATATAATAACTATATATACTGTATATTATACTAGTAAAAAATATAATAGTAAAATAAATATATATCATCAAAAAATTTTGGTTGCTCTTATTAAAAAACTATATTAATAATTAATGATTTTTAATATATTTTTTATAATAATATATTTTTGTATATTTTAATAATTTAATATTTAAAAGATTTTTTATATATTCTATGTATTAAAAACTTAAATTAATCTTAATATTTCAAATTCTTTATATAATTTGAAAATAAATCTATATAAAGTTACTACAGTATCTTTATTTATGGGTAATTATTTTTGAAGGTGAACCAAAAATTTTCAGGATACAAATTTATTACTCTATAATTAAGAGGTACTGTATATTAT